CCCCAAAACCCCAAAACCCCAAAACCCCATCATTCCATAAATAACACAGTCATATTCAGTTGAAAATATTTAATTTAAATCAATGTTAAATTATTCAGGATTAGGGGGAGGAGCCCCCATCATAGGCAACTTGCTAATCACTTCAGGTCTCACAAATCAGACCTTCGAGTTCTTTGACTTCAACACCCCAAATAGAATGCACGCCAAACCCTTTAAGTTAGTGTAAAATGTGAGCAGCAACCAGCAGAACCTGCTGAAAACCAAGTGATAGCAAGTGGCAGCTCAGTCGAATAAATAGTCGATGGTTTCAACTCACAAGTTCTACAGCCAATAGCATTAAGATACTGACATTTTCATTTTGAAGGATGGCAACTTCAGTCACCTGGGAAACTACAGGGACAACAAAGCTTTCTTGAGTGACGAGAAAATAAATAAAAACCTTAACAACTTATCCTCCAGCCCGAACATGCTTCACCAATAATAAAGACATCAGTAGTAACACTAGTAATAGTAACAATTGCATCAGCATGAGAAGAAGTATTCACAGCAAATTAAGAATACCTCGTCACCCCTAGATTGAAGGAAGAGACAACTTCCTCAAATGAGAAATGATAGCAATGAGGGCGTCTCTCTGAACTTTCTCAGCAGCGGAGTGTTAGGTTCTGATAATTAAAAGACGTAATATAAAACATTCAGCTTAACTAACAAGCAAGAATTGAAACAAACAACAGCCACAGCTGCAGCTGAATCTGTGTCAATCGGTCAGAGCAATTCAACTTTTTCCAAATACAATAAAAAATACGTTAGAGATCGGAAAATTTCAGACAACCTATCTAAGAAGCTAGGCTTTCTAACTAGCTCTATCAATGGAGCCATAGGGTCATGCCCCGATAACACCAATGAGATAGACAGTTAGGTAATTGAATTTAATCTATCAAAGAGCAATTTCAATAAGAGGGAGAGAAGATAAAAGCCTTAAAAGGAATAAAAAGAGGAGATTATGAGTTATTTCAATAATTACAAGTCAAAATTCATTAATAAAAATGGAATCAATTATGGAATCGCTAGAAGTGGGCAGCCATCAACTTTACTGTAGTCCAGACCCAGCTCTTAAAGAAGATCTGATTTGCTAGCAGGCCATTCTACAACAGTGATGGGAATTGAGAATGGTTTAAATAGCAATCTCCTAAGCAATGAGAATATTTAAGAGAACAGAATTACTTACGGGTCGTAAATTAACGAAGTATTCAGTGCTAGTCAGCTGGATGATATTTACAAATAGAGCATGAACTTCATTGGCGGAGGCGACCAGAGAGTTAAAGATCAAATCAAACCACAGGGCTTTCATTAGCATAGAATAGCATCATATGATTAATATATGACTTAAGAGCAAAATTCCAAAATCAGCAATTTCGAAAATTAAGAAAATAGCTAGTCTAATACTTAGTCAAAGAAGGGAGGAATATATATAATGATAAATGAAAATGGGAACTTTTCGCATAGGGAGTCAATAAGCTAGGAGATCTTAAATAAGTTTGAAAAAGCAGGATTGCAATCTCAAAAATCCATCTAAAATCATGCTGAATCGGATTCTGATTTAAAACTTGGGCAGATTCTACCTTAGATATTAAGTGAATAGGATCCATTAATGTCTAATCAGAAAATTAATCAAGGTGAGATCATTATGTATCCTACTGAGTCATTTGCCTTAAATGAACAGAAACTTATTCAGATGACAAACTTTTCATAGATGGCACACAGCAGTATTCTTGAGCCAAAACATCAACAGATGCAAAGTCATAATGTATTCAAGAAACTGATTGGAAATATATCAGCAACTTAGGCCACAGGTAATCCTAAAAGAGAAGTAGTCTCTTAAGCATTTAAGAAGCATCGTGAGCCTGACCCAATTTAGGTATATAAAGAGGAACAGAAGAACCAAATAAGATAGAGATAGTAAAGCAGCAACCCTAGAGCATCAAGTAAGTACTTCAATATGTAGAAAAAGGGTAGCTCTACGAGTGCTGCAAACAATAATAGCAGCTACTATGCTTATGGGAAACGGGATGATAGCACTGGCAGTTATAGAAAAAGAAGAAGTTCGATTAAAAAGGATGAGCCTACACAGAAATAGTCTGGTAAAAACTAATTGGTAGGATCATAGAAGAGTTTTATAGTAGCTGAACCAATTCAAAAAAGTAATTAATTCATATCTTAATAATAATTATATAGTTAGCAATCTCTCGTCTAGCAATTGGTACATCGTTCCATAACCAAATTAAAAAGACAAAAATTTGCAGGTGCTCCCGATTCCCAAAAAAATGAACTCAAGCAATGAAGTGCAAAAGAAAAGATTAGACTATCAGTAAAGTTAGCAATTTAGAAACATAGCCAAGACTTCAAGCTAGTCATTTTACAGTAAAAATTAGGCGAGCAAGAGTCCTTAGTAAATGATAAGCAAGCAACATGAAAACATTAAAGACTTAGAATGCTTTCTTGAGGTTTAAAAAATGGCACTTCTAAAGTAGTCACCTAACATTTTATATAACAAAATAAGAACTGAAAATTTTTCGTTGCAAGAATAGTACAAAAGTTCAGTAAGTCCTGATACGACAATGATTGCCCCTAATTACAACAAATATTACGCTCACGATTATGACTTGAACCAAATCATTCAGAAGTAGATCATCAGAGGTGATATCTAGATAGCATAAAAGTAGTTGAAGTTTGTTGTCATCCCAGGAAACAATTCATAGCTAATCAAAGATGCCATGCTTAGAAGATCCTATTTATGGAGAGAAACCACTGCAAATGATTAAGCCTATAGCTTCAAATGGCAGCCTGTGTCATATGGAATAAGATTTGAGCAGATTGGGTAATTCTCAATTTTAAATTTCATGAGTTAAAAGCAACTAGTCAATCATCTTGAGTATCACAGCTAGCTTAGTGAGAAAAGCAAACTCTTTATAAATATGAGTAAATTTGCAATGAAACTCAAGGAAAATGTGTTTAATTACATTCCAATCACATTTTTCATAGAAGTAGACTCAATGAATCTCAAATAGTTTAACATGTAACTAACTCAGTTTAATGGGTTCTATTATACTCTGGAGGATAGCAAGAAAAAAGTATTGAAATTTTGGACAAAGTATTAAAAATACCTTAAAAAGCAAAGTGAATAAGAGAGCCAGACTAACCTTGATGAATAATCTCCAAGAAATAATAATACTCCACAATCTGTGGTAGATCAAATGATATTGAATATATTCGGGACAAACAGAAAAAATTCAAATAAAAATCTTGTAAAAGAAGAGCAGACTACAATCACATTTGATATTAATAACAAAAAGAGTAATTAAAAGTATATGATGCCTATAAGTCACTTTACAGGCCATAACCTTTGGTTATTAAAGCCTACAAAGCTTAATAGAGGAAGAGGTATACATGTTTGCAACAACATAAGTACCTTGAAAGATCTGATGCATAAGTATTGTGAAGGGTTCAAGAAAAAATCAATTACCTTGGGCTCAACAGTAGCAGGAGAAAAGCTTGTGACGTCTTAAAAATCTCCACTTCCTTAGTCCCCGAATAAAATTTGCATTGAGAATGAGTCTGAAGAATAAAAACAAGCCTAAATTATAATGTCTGCACATAGTTTAACGCCGATAAAGAACGAAGATCCTATAACAGAAATGGACCCAATCAAAACTCACACTGCATCTGCTGCCTAGGCTATGAACAGTGTGGAACCTCAGTCCCAACAGCAAAGGACTCCAAATCAAAACTCAAAGCAAATCCCAAGACAAGTTAAGATCAAGCACAATAGCTTTATCATTTAAAAGTATATAGAGAGACCATTGCTGATATACGAAAGAAAATTTGATATAAGAGTCTGGGTCTTCATGAATTATGATGGATGCGTATATATGTTTAAAGAAGGCTATCTTCGAACTTCTAGCTCTAAGTTCAGTATTGATCCGAACAACCCAGACGACCAGTTTGTGCATTTGACCAACAATGCCATTCAAAAGTACTCTGATAACTATGGCAGCTTCGAAGATGGAAATTAGATGTCCTATGATTAGTTCTAAGAATATTTGGACTAATATGTCTTTGATAGCGATTCCAGTAAGATTTTAGTCAAGGAGGAGATTGTGTTTAAGTTCAAGCAACTGATCATGAGATCAATATTTGCTACGAGAAAGTAGCTAGATCCGAATCACCGTAAATCTTGCTTTGAACTCTTCGGCTATGACTTCATTATGGATGAGGATTTCAATGTGTGGCTGATTGAAGTAAATACTAATCCTTGCATTGAGGAGAGTTCAAATATCCTTAAGATATACCTTCCTAGGATGATCGATGATATGATCAAGCTCAGTGTTGACTAGCACTTCCAAGATGCCTTCTAGATTTACAGAGAGCCTCCTAACTTAAATCTGCCAAGTTTCCCAGTAAAAGGCTATGAGGATGATGAAAATATGTGGGAATATCTTGTAAATGTCAGAGATAGGACAAGTAGGAAGGAGGCTTCGAGATTATATCTCAAACCTATTGAGTAAAGGTCGAAATTCGGATTTCAAATCAAGAATAGGAAGCTTAAAGTGAGGAGGTACAATAGTAAAGTAGGAAACGGATTGGTTGGGTAGATAATGACGAATGGAGTTGTGGGATAAGGAAACCAAAATTTCGGTAACTAAATGATCGACTATGAAAAGCTGCTGGTTCAATCGAATATAATTTGATCATTTTCAGTCTCTAAATGATCATTTTAAATGCTAATAATAGTTCATAATCCTTAATTTAATCATTTATTTTATTTAATCACTTTGCTGCTTTGATTGTTGATTTAGGGGTTTTGGGGTTTTGGGGTTTTGGGGTTTTGGGGTTTTGGGG